TATTAAAATATACAGTACTGTATTATTTATATATTATATTAATTATATATTATATAAATTATATATTATAATCATTTTAATCATTTTAATTATTGTTTATTATTATTAATTGTTTTGTTATATTGTTTCGAATAAAATACACTGTAGGCCTACCCCTAAAATCATAAAATTTGTTGGCATTGTTTTGCAAATCTATATTGTCATATATCGTATATTTAATATTATTCAGTTATATTATGGAATTATGCTTCATAAAAGTTTATAAGCATTTTGAAATAAAAAGACACGGGACGGCTATAGGATTTTACACGTCATTTCAATAACGCATGCGCATAATGGTTGGTAGTCGGAGGACGACGATGATGTAGCTCGTGTTGACGGAAGGAATTAATCATTCTGGGCCTACAGGGTAGCTGGTGGGCGTGCATTTTAAAATAGGATAATTCTATTACGAGTTAAATTTCAATGTCTAGGTAAGTATTAAATTTGTATTTATAATTACGGTATGTTATTGTAGATTTTTTAGGGAGTATATTTGCGATTTTTTATATATGCTAGACCTTATAAACTCAATGGATTTGCCAGGCTCGCCAACTTCTTTAGTCATGAACAGGACCTGGTGAGTGCGCCAAGGCGGCTATGCGGGGAAGATGGTAGGGTTGGTACACTAGCGGAGGCGTAGCCTAGGTAGGCCTAGACCTATACTAGCCTAGATTTGCATATCTTTTATTTAAAATTCTAATATAGGCCTAGACTTGTTTTATATAGGCCTAGGAACCTATAGGCTTAGGCCCATACTGTAAAGTTTTTTGAAAACCAGATCAAATTTGCACAGAAAATCGCTAGGAAAATAAGTGCGCAGAATCGTAATTGCTGCATGGTGCATTGTTTATATATTTAAGATTAGGTCAAAGCCTTAATCCGGGCACTAACTTCGCCCAACGGTCATCTGCTGATGCGATTCTATGAAGAACACGACAACGCGCATGCAACAGATCAGACTGCCACCAACAATCAACAGATGGCGTCACGTCGTCTACCGCTGAGTGACAGGGAGTGGAATTGGATTCGTCGTAAAACACAGTCTGCATGGAAATTAGCTCTTATTTTCCGAAATCAGCAGACGGATTTCTAGGCTAAATTTTTGCGCAGCGGATATATTCCCTGTGCAGGAATTACTATTAATACTATACAGTCCTACTACTATACTAGATTGGTGTTTTTCTATGATAGATATTTAATTTAAAAAAACACTTTGAAGTATATTAAATAAAACTATACTTGTATTTTGTACGGCCCCCTAGATAGAAAAGATTTGATAGGCGGGCCCTACATTACGCTAGGCGTAGGCTAGCCATGCTATCATATGATTTATTTTTTGCAGGGCAAAGACCAAGACTTTAAAATGTATCTTCTTCAAAAATTTGGCCTTAAAATCTGTCCATGCATCTTTGGAAAATTTTGCCGAAAATCAGGCCTTGGCCTATTAAATATTGTGTTGTAGTTAAGATTCTTGCACACTATGTTGTTCTGGCAATTCTCCATGCAAATTTGAGCGAAAGCTTGATGGATCATCCATGTAATTGAAATACTTTACACTGTAGGCCTAAGGTACAACTGTTCTGGTTCTGGTGGGTTGCTGCATAAATTCCTGAGCAGGGATGTTACACTACATATGCCTAAGTGAAACAAAGCCGCTCCTGTAACTATCATGATTCGTGCAAATGTTGTATGGACTTAAATCCACTCTATGTATAATAATAATAATGGTAATAACTATTTTTAAAGTGCAAACATTACCACCAAAATTTTTGCTCAAGGCACAGTGTCAAACAACAGCAGAGAACAAACAGGAATCACGAACATCAAGATCAATGTGTAATCTTAAATTTTTGTATGGACTAAATTTTTAACTTAAATTCGTTAGCCTGGTAATGTCTATATTTTACTTAATTGTATTATTTTCTAAAAATTAGGATTTTTTCTGTCAAATGTTTTTTTATTTCCTCCTGTGAGTCAGGAAATATTGTTATGGGAAGCTTCCCGGAACTGTATGTGGAAACAAAGCTGTTGTGTATTAAAGGCCTACTACCTACTGTATGCCTAGTCTACTGTAAAGTCTATTTGTAATTGCTATCATCATAAAAATACAAAGAAAAGATATATGCCTTATTTGAAGCTCTAGTAATTTTAATGTTGTGTGCTTTAAGTTCCCTTTGTAGCATGGCCACCTGTTGTGTGAAAACCTTGGATTTATGCTCTCCTGGTTTAAAAATATTTATGCTTTTAACTTTACTAAAATAAAGTTCCAACAATTGACTCTACACTGGCAACACAATTTTTATATTTCCCTGACAATTTATATTGTTATTTCAATAAGAAATGTGCTTAAAATGAGTTTAATTGTTATCAGAATTTAAGAATTGTTGTTCTTGAATATTTTTTTTTGCTCCAATGCCTCATTTACAAATAAATGCTTTTGACGTCTCAACCATGGATGACTGTGTCAAAGGTTCAAGTCACATAAACAGTCATACAGCTTACACTCGTCTGCTTTTTTGTAATTGTATTAACAATTAACATCTTGACGAGATTTGATTGACAGATAAACCAACTAATCAGCGAGCCTCATTTAGTCACGTGATCAAACTTGGACATTTTAATTTCCTTAGACATCTGGTTTAAACGCGAAACATACGCGAGCCTAGGCCTAGATGTCTATGCTTGGTTATAGATACCCAGATTTACACGAGCAGAGCGCATCTGTGACTTGGCCTTTGCCGACAACAAGGTTGATTGAATGCGGCTTTTCCCTCTTCCTTTTGGGAGTGAAATACAGAGGCTTTTACAACAATTTCCCCATGTGTTCCATGAAATAGATTAACACTATGAATATATGATTTATTTGCATACCACCTACGCTGAATTCTCTTTCTTAAAGAAGGTTGATAGCAAAGAAAATGTTCGCCAACTCAGTAAGTCTAGCCACCATTGTCTAAGGTTTTCATGACTTTGTGGGCGGGGCTTCGCGTCCTTGTCGACATGTCAATTGTTGATCTTCAATGTTGCCAAATGCTGAAATCATCTTCAATAACTGTCAAACCCGACCTGTGCGAGGGCCAATGTTCGTATGTAGCCATTTTGGTAAAATGTTACACTTGTAATGATGTGAATAGATATAAAATAAGGAAACAAATGAGACAGATCCAGGCCTTTTCATTAAAGAGAGCCCAAAATATTTATTTATTAAAAATTTTTAGTCCATGTCTGGGCTTCTTGATGTCTAAATAAAAATAATCTAAAGCGTGCAATAGTCATTGCATTTTTGGTGCATTCCCTATCTCAGTCCAATTATTATTTGGAGAGGTCAGGCAAAATAGATTCAATAATCCACTGTACCATAAAGCGCTAGATTATTTCATGTCTTGAATGGACGGTAGGGGGGTGGGTGGTAAAGTTCTCATGTAGTGTTTTAATATTTATCCAAAAATGTTTCAAGTATTATAGGGCAATACATGACCAATGCAACATGTATGCAAAAATTCATAGCCAACAGGTGTTTGGAAATACAAGGTTCCTGTTGCATTGATATAGCATAGAAACAAAAAATCAAACGATAAGATTCAAATTACATCAATAATGCCCTTTCAGAATAGAATTGCGCAGTTGAAACTCGGAAATGGCTTATTGGGTACGGAGGGAAAGCATTCATTGGGATGAGAATTAAATATTTATAAATAAATTTTCATTACTTTTATCTGCTCCAGATGATTTATTTACTTTATTCTGCTCTGGTTTACCATTATAAGGACTCTGCTGATAATACTTGCGTTATGTTCCACATTTCTAAGTCAAATAATTTCGATCTTACTTTTCATGCCAAATTATTGTGTTTTCCATTAATTAACAATCTGTAAGTAAAATTTTATCTAAGTCAAACAATATTTCAATGGCATTTTGGATTTGACTTACAGTAGGCAATTTCAACTGTAATATATTTATATTTTTTCAAATAAAATTGATTGATGTGTTTTGTTTTTGCCTTTAAACAGAATTGAAAACTATTGTTCGACTTAAATTCCATGTTGATCTAGAGCAGTCAAGTAACAGGTGAGCCGTTACCATGGCTACAGTGGATGTGGTCAGTGCCAAGAAGTTGGTGGAGAACTTGCAGACTGACCTTCGGGCTCTGTCCAATGAAGCTAAGAAGAAGTATCCGCCGGTGAAAGAGGTTTGTCAAATTTTCTTAGCCATAATACTCCAAAAAATCTTGTACATAAAACTCCTAAATTGCATGTGTGGTACAGGAGGAGATGTATTGTCCCCTGAAAAAAAAAATCATAATAAATAATTTTCAAATTAACTTGCTCATTTTGCAGTAACACGCAAATTGTGCATAGAAATTATTGATTACGGTTAAACATGTTATAAATACACTAAATACTACTTTAAAATGATTTTTATGATTTGTTTTTTTTTTTTGTATTTTTCATGCGACAGTACATCTTTAAGTGATTGAGGTTTATTAGGCTGCTGGTAATATAAATAGTGCTGGTACTGTTAATTTCAACAATGTTACTAGCAGCAAATTATGAATTTTATAGTATCAGAGTACACAGTGGCATATCTAGGAGTCTTGAAATTGGGTGGGGATTACGGGGGTATGGGGGGGGTTGCTTGATGGTGCACTGGCTCACAAAATAAGGCGATGTGAGGTAATTTTTAACTAATTACAGTAAGTTAAATTTTTTTCTTCGAACATTTCCAATGGGGGTGGGGCAACAGGGGGACATGCAACAACATTTCTCTTCTAGGGGAGGCGGCATGTGTACCCTTCTAGATTAGCCACGGAGTGTAGAATTTAAATAACTAGCAATAGGTTCTTTCATTCTAAAATATTAATTAACATAAAATTATTTAATTGAAAAGTAACTAATATTCGACAGTCCGAGTTATTAATTCACCAGAGTTAATTAGTCATTATTAATATATTGATATTATTGTTAGATTTCTATTCCAATTCCCTACGATTATGTCCTTGGGTGTCCTTGGTTTGGGTTTTGTATAGTGGTCAGTATAACCATGAAGGTATAAAAATAGAATAAATTTTACATTCAAAATTATCATGGAAACCAGAGACTTTCAAGACTAAAAATAATAATAATAATAGACTTATAAAGCACGCATTGTTAAACCCTCTATGTGCTTCACATTATTCCCCCGGTCATTGGATTAAATGCCTGGAACACAAACTCCAGCTCCCTGTGGGAGTATTCCTTAACGTTGCAGTGAGCTACATCAGCGCATTTTGGCATTTAACCCTACCAGGTACCCACTTATACTCCTGGGTGGAAAGAAACAATATGCAGGTAGTGTCTTGCCCAAGGACACAAGTGAAATGCACAGCAAGGGTTGGCAAACTGAATCATTCCCACTGCGCCATACTGCTTCCACTACTTAGTAGCACCAACATTTTTTAAAGTACAATGAGAAATAAGTATGTAAACATTAAACAGTTAGTAAAACCATTATTTAATCTTCCATTTTAAAAATCACGTTTTTTTTACTTAAAATAATTCCAATGTTATTTTGTCTATTGAAAAGCCCTATGATCTGTTTTACAAACTAGTAAATGTAGTTATTAATATCATTGTCATTGTCCCCACTGCTCTCATTGTCATTATCATAATCTTTATTATTGTTAAAATGAGCGCAACATATAAACCTCTTCATTTCTGAGCAACTACTTACCTAGCAGTCATTATTGTTGAGTACAGTACAGTAATTGATTTTTTTTTTATATATATAATACTTATAATTTACTCATTATAAATTACCAGTTTGTATTCATTCATCCTTCCTTATTCATTCATTCATTCATTTATTTAATTTATGTTTTATATAATCCTTAATAATTGATTTATTTTGTTTATTTCCTAATTATTAATTTGATTTCATTTTATTTATTCAGTGATTCAAAAAATTTGAAATCAACAAAAATCACTAAAGATAACACAAAAGTGCTTCTGTCTATTGTGGTCCTTAGGCGATGCTTTTTTATGCCTTGTTTCGCGAACCCGCCAATATTAATGATTTTTAATAAAAATAAAAATTTTATTTTTGGCAAATTAGTGCACCCACACCACAGAAAAATTGAAATTGCAGAAAAAATATGTTTTTATAATATTTGTTTTAAAATTATGTTTAATTATATAAATTTAAAGCATAAACAATAACATTTTATTTTTATTTTCTTCTCCGTCTAGATGTTTTTGGCAAAGCCATTTGCTAAATAAGAAAATAACATTTTAATTTTTTTTCCCACCCTCCTCTGACGATCTTTAGAAAAAGTATGTTTGTGAAACAAGGTATAAAAACAGATTATCAAAACACAACATAAAAAGACAAATTATAAATTTACTCATTATTAATTACCTATTCTTTCATCCATTCTTATCTATTTATTTATTTTTTTTAATTTGTTTATTTTTTATATAATGCCCGATACAATCACATACAAACTAAAATATACAGTAATATGAATATGGTATAAATTGTTGTAAACATTTTAGTTATTGTAAAATATTGGTTTTAAGATGGAGTTTAAGCCTGTTAACATGTTGTCTGTTTGATGTGAAGTGTGCTGGTATATTATTCTAATATAAACTCTGACATTTTGTTTCATTAATCATTAATTTTTTTCCTAAATGAACATCTAAACAAACACTTCATTAACCTCATTGCAGGCGGCTGAAGCAGGCATTCTAAGGATACGAACTGTGGTGGCAAAGAACAAAAACATCATTCCAGGTACCCTAAAGAACATGTTTATTATTCAGAAAAGATCGCATATACTCTAGGCTATTTGCATGCCAAGTCAATGATTGATGGGATTTAAATGCACAATCAGTAAAAAGACCTAATTATTTGAACCTTCCTTTTGAGGCAGAAATAAAAGGAATATCACAATTATTTGAAAATATTATTACCTTTTTATTTACATTAATTTTATGCTTTAAATGAATAATTAGTTTGTTTATTTATTTTTTATTTATTTAATTTTTGACATTAAAAATCATACATTGATCATTATTATTATTTCTTTTTAATATTTTAAATTTATTTTTCTTATCACTGATATTAATTGACTTAATAAAATCCCAATCTCTATTTATCACTAATTTTTGTTTTAGTGTATTTTTATTGTTTAAAAAAAATTCCTATAATTTTAGGAAAAAAGTTTTCAATTAAAGCTTTTTGATATTTTAATTTGTTTTTGTTGTTTACTTATCACTAGTATTATTAATTAATTAGGTCTGAATAAGGTTATGTTGCCCATGTCCAACTTACAAAATATTTTGAAAATCTACCAGGGTCAGATTATTTTTTTAATTATTTCTCAGGAACAGCATTAAATATGTTGTTTAAAGCTTTAATAATTATTTTGTAAAACTTAATTTTTTTTGTGAGACATTAAAAGATTGAAGAGTAGAAAGGAATAAAAAAAAAGAATAGAATAAAGAAGTGAGAAAGAATTTAAGGAGAGAGGGTAGAATAGAGAAAGAAAGGAATATGAAAATTGGGTTTATCATCACACTCCCTATCATTGTAATCTTGATGTTGCATACCATATTCTGCATTTAATTAGTCATTTTCACATATTTTCAGCTTAATAGAGACAATATATATTTAATATTGCTATTAAATTTCTCCAACAGCCTTGGTAGCCTGTAGTGGTGAGATAATGCAACCTTTTCTACTGGGCTGTGATACCAAGAATCTACGCATTGTCCAAATCTGCCTAGCTTCAATTCAACGACTAATAGCCAAGCAAGCATTGTCTCCAGTAAGTACAGTAATCTTCCCTAGATATCCTTATTTAGTTGTAGAAATTTTTGATCCCATAGGATACCTCGACAAAGCCCTTCACATTCTATAAGTGGGAAATTTGTTTTGCATAATCCTCAGCCTTTGTAGATGTATAGCAAATGAATGTTTGAGGAGGAAGTGGTGAAAAATCACAGGGATTACTGCGATGGATGAATACTGTAGTGGTAGATAAACATGACTAAACATGGAAATCAAACTTGTTTACATTTATTAGCTCCGATGAGGAGCTCTAGAAACACTCAGCTGATTGATTTTTTAGCTCTGCTGCCTCTATTATACTGCCCTCATGAGGCTGATTGATTAATAGATCTTTTTTAGCTCTACTGCCTCTGTTATACTGCCCTCATCATAGCTTTCGAGATTTGTGTACAGTACTTGTTACATGTTGAATTTCAAATTCAAAGTTGGAAATTGCAGGAGGTTTTTTTTACTGTATATACTTCATATTAATGCAGCAGAAATTGTTCTTGCTTTTGTTGTCAAGTTTTTATCCATAACATTTTTAAATAAAGTAATTTTTACAGATATGAAAATTTGAGTGATGGATATAAAACTAAATGTTTTAATCTGTCTGACAAATGTGAGCGTTTATAAATTATTAGCACAAGAAAGAAATTGAGTCAAGTCAATGTACTGCACAATACAGCTCATGGTTGTACCAATCAAGAATATTATTAGTGAAATGTGCTGTTTTCTCATGGACAAATGCAGTAGCGTATATCTAGAGGCTGTGTGGGTTGTGCACACCCCCAAAAAAGTCTCTCTCCCCCCTCCCCCAATGAAAATGTCCAAAGTAAAAAAATCATGCTTAAGTAGTTAAAAATTCATATCACCCTATTTTGCAGTGGTCAGTGGTTGTGCACTTGTATATATAGCACATACAACATTCATCTCTCTGCACTCTCCAGAACAAAAAAAGAAAACAAAACAAAACAGGAAAGTGGAGGAAAGTTAGAGAATAAGAATGATTTAAGATGCCGCTTAAAGATCATTAAATTAGGAGACTCTTAAAAATAGTTCCTCCTCACTTAATCTTCAAGCCTCCCACTCCATCTTCATCCCCCCCCCCCATCAGCCCTCCCTCCATTTAAAAACTCCTAGATACGCCATTGGACATATGAATAAATAATATATCAAAACACTATGTCAACAAGCTTAATATGCTTTTTTTCTTCATATTATTAATTTATTTGGTCATTTTTTTCACCGTCAATAAGATAAAGTACACAAAAGCTCTACATTACATTTATGTTAGTGGTCATTCACATTTTTCAACATTCAAAATAATATATTTTTTGTGACCAATTATAATGCAACAATGGATATAGTAGACATTTTTATGCAACCAAATACAATACTTTAGTTCACTTCACAAAAAATTGGAGAATTATGAAGAATCAACATTTTATATGTATACTTTCACGCAAGTGAGTACTGTTTGTACACTCGCGTAATGTTGACAATTGTGAATGATCCCTTTTACATTTGTTTTTTTGAATTATTATTACATAACATTACACATTTCTTCCTAAGGACTGTTAATATTTGGTAGGCTCAAAATCCACTGTGTTGATTGTGCGATAACATTATGAAGTACAAAGTTGCTCCCGCTGGGGCTCAGCATGCGTATCATACCAATTTTCTTGACAGGTGATAATAAATCATAAAAGTATAAGCTAATAGAAAGATGCATAGTAGGACTGCAGTTAAACTAATGATCAAGAAGCACTACCCACACTATCAAATTTTCTTGACAAAAACTGTTCTATGACCATATATGGTCATGATGTGCCTATATATGGTCATGATG